ACTCGCTAAATGCAGTTTTGTCAATTTCAATGAGAAAAATAGAAAAAATTGTTTAGTTAAAATCTTTAAAATATAGCAACAGTATTAAAGCACGATTGCAAGGACGTATAAAGGACTTATTCGATATGTGTTCGAGCGTGGTAAAACTCTGTGCATTTAAAATTTTTTTCCTTTTTAATTTCGCAAAAAGTAGAATTTACAATTAATGCTGAAAATGAGAGTTTTGAAATTAAAACTTTTAAAAGAGTGGTTTTTGGAAACAACATCTTCTTTTTATTTATTCTAAGATTATTTTTCTTATTTATTTCAAGAACATAATCAGAAGGAACAAAAAATATTCTCTCGGAATCACAAAAACATTATTTCTTCCAAAATAACTATATAATATAATGATTATATTTTAATAATAATTATCGTTGGATACGCTAGCAAAATGTATCTAAACAACAAAAACTAACAAAATAAAATTCATATTTCAGTTCAAAGCCTTAAAAAATACGAAAACCGAAATAAGAAATACTTTATATTCTAGAATTGCCTCAATTGAAATTCATGAATAGTTTCTTCTCTGCTATAAAATTATGTGATGAAAATTTAACATTAAATGTGACGTTAATTTCTTCTAATCCAAGATTAATTCAGAAATTGTTGACAATCAAATAACATAAGCCGGCGAAGCACGCGCAAATTGAACACATCAAAAATCATGTGAACGATGACATATTATTGGCTGAAAGTCATACTGACAAGTGGAAAAAACTGAGTTTTGAAAGTGAACCAAAAAAATTCGTCAGAAATGAAAGAGTTTTGAAAGATTGTTTGAAATAAGCGCATTTTGCAACTCACATTTTGGAAAATTGAGTGAGTTTTGCAAATAATATTCAATTTTAGGCCCACTTAACTAAGAAATGGAAGGCTTTTGCATCGGCATTGTTAAACACGACCATAGACATATTAAATATGATTACAACAGTGTTGCCATCTCACTTTTTTTTAAAAAGTGCATTTAGCGATTTTTGCAATTAAGCTATATACATACAAACGCTCACATCCACGTACATATCCATACTCACTATATGCGCGCGTATTCGCGCGAATATATGTGAGCATCTTTTTTATGACATTTAACACATTTGTATTTTAATCTTAAAAAAATTGTATTCAAAATATGGTATGTTTTGTGTTATACAGAAATATACAAAACATTGATAGACGATGGATTTTTAGCAAAAGATGACCCGACTGAATTGCGAATCAATTTCGAGCAATTTTGCATACTAGCCAGCAAGTCATCGTGGATACGGACGAAGAGTAACGGCATTTCTTGTGAAAGTGAGATACCTTCTGTATGGAATGTATTACGTAGGAAGACCTCAAATTTCTTACGCCGAGCTATTGTACATCCTTTTTATCGCTTCCTAGGTATTTCTGATTTTCAACAATTTCCCACGATCTTCAATAATCACATCTTTGCCTCAATATTCCATTTTTTTACTTCCCGTGATTGAGCACTCAATTTCGTTTATTTCGTAGAGCAGGCTGAAAGCAAAATTTGCATAAAATTATTCAAATTAAATTTTTTTCAGATTGGACCAATTCCTTTGTACAAGAATATGATAAAAGAGACATTTATATTGGTGTAGTTAGCAAAGATTTGTTTTGGTTAGAATCTTCTGCTATACCGTTGATAGAGTGAGTATCAATATCTTAATGATGATTGTATCTCATATTTAAACATAGCCTGCTTTCATTTATGATTTTCAGGTCATTGAGGTTGTCACTGTATCAACCAAATCTAAACGAATATAATGTAAGAGTATTGCCACAAGAGTTGCAAAAGATAAAGAACTCTCGATTGATCCTATTAATCGTACCACAGCATTCACGTGGCATTGCTATTATGGCGTTGGCAGCTCACTTGATTGGATTGCGCGCTAAGCTCGTTCTGTGTGTCCAAATTCTTGCTGAAGATTCTATCGTGTCCGATGAACAAGTACGACTGATTTTATACAAGACATTTTATACAAGATCCCATAAAAGGCGTAACAACGCTTAAGAGTAGATTTCTGAAATCATTTTCTGAGATAAATATCAAAATGTCGAGGCTACAGTACTATTTTTAGAATTATAAACATTTAAAGTTAGCAAATAAAGTCGCCAAAGTTTGCTCAGATGTGATATAATGCCACAATACGCAAAACGAAAGCTGACTGTCGTTCCATTGTCCCTAAAATTGATATAAAGCAAAAATAATGAGTTATTTTATGATATTCACATAAATATACTGTCTGAGTAGATTATATCTTACTGGAAAAAAAAATATTACATAATACGTAAAACGCAAGCTGTCAAATGACATTCCTTTCAGAAATCTGCTATTTTCATATTTTACAAATATTTTTTAGAAAAAAATAGAATTATTATCATTGAAACCAATCGAAATACTACTATTATTTTATATAAATGATAATAATAATAACTATTTTATATATAAATAATAAAAATAACAAATTTTTTAAAATAATTTGTATATAATTTTTAAAATAATTTAAATAATAAATTATTTTGTTTCATTTATTTATAATAAATGTTGAAATTGTGCGCCATCCATTTGTATGCAATATTTATAAGATATGAAACTAGCAGATTTCTGAAAAGAGTGTCATTTGACACTCAAAGCTTGCGCTTTACGTGTTATGTAAAAATATTTTTTCCTCTTTTCATGTAAAAATATTTTTTCTTCTTTTCAGGAAGATATAATCTGTTGAGATAGTTCATATGAATATCAGTACAAACAATTTCACTATCTTTGTATAATTGTAAAATTGTAATCTTTATATGAATTTTAATAGGGAGGCGATAGTCAGCTTTCATCTTTCGTACTGTGTATTACATCATATCTGAATGCACAAACTTCAGGCGACTCGATACTAATTCTAAAATGTTTACAATTCAAAAAGCATTATAATCTCACTATTTTGGTATTAGAGTTTTCGTTTCAAAATGATCTCGGAAATTTACCTTTAAACGTTGTTACGATCTTTAGGAGATATTCTATATACATGTGCGTGCGTGCGTGCGTGCGTGCGTGCGTGCGTGCGTGCGTGCGTGCGTGCGTGCGTGCGTGCGTGCGTGCG